GCTGAGGACCTGCGGGGGAGACACTGAGGCTCGGGGAGCCCGAAGCCATCCCGGGGGCAGAACTGGGGCTGCAAGTGAGAATAAAGATCCGCAAGGCCCTCTCCCGGCCACCCCGTGGCCTGTCCGGCTCTTCAGGCTCTCGTTCTGTCCTGTTTTGGAAGGCGGGAAATGGAACCCGCAGCCATGCGCGTGCCTGAGGCCTCCGCCGCAGCGTGGGACTCCGTCCAGGGGAGCTGTCCTCCTGACAACGTGGCCTCAAACCAAGATCCTCGGCTCGAGCTCCCCGGGCTGGCCGGGTGTTGCTCCTCTGTCCTGCTCCGTGCAGGAGCGCGCTGAGGCCTGGCAGGTGGAGGAGGAGCGGAAGTCACAGCTGGCAGCAGCAGTGCCAGCCTCTCCCCCCCCCCCGACTCCTGGCAGACGTGCAGAGCGAGTGACCGCCCCGGAGGCGGGCCGGAGACCCTGGGCAGCCCCACGGCCTGGTGGAAGCCAGGCCTGCCTTCTGGAACGCTTAGAATGTGCAGCCGGAGGGAGCCGCAGGCAGTGAACCCCACACATAACCGCTGCCCGCGGTGGACAGCCCAGCGGGTGAGGAAAACCGGCTGCCAGCTGGGGAGACCTCCCTGAGCCTGCCTCACTCATTCATTTATTCAATCACTCACTCACATCCCATCGCGCCGGGAGCCCAGTTCCATGTACTGGGAAGGTGATAAGAATCAGGGCAGTCCGTGCTCCCGGGCCAAGGTGAACCACACGAACAGCCAGGCTCAGCAGAGGCCGGAGGACGGTGAGCGGGAGGCGGAGGCTACGTATTTTTAGAGCAGAGGAGGTGGTTTTAAGCAGGAGGGACCATGCAGGTGACATTCAAGCAAGCTTAGCAGACAGGGTGAAGCATGCATGGAGCAGAGCACAGAGGCCTGCGGCCCAGCCAGGCCCTCCCAGCCGGGCCCAAAGCCCCAAGGGGGATCCACAGATGCCACAGCAGGAGTAAAACAGCTCTGGCGCCTCCAGGGCCTCTCCTCCTCCTAATCTCCCCTTCTCCATGTGCCTGAGCCTCCTGGAGTCCTCTTCCTCATTCCCGCCCCAGGGCCTTTGCACATGACATCTCCCATGCCCAGACCATGCTTCCTCCCATCTCTTAGATTTCTCAACAAAACGCCGCCTCTGAGCACCTTGCTGTGACCTGTCCACACACACCCGCACTCCACCGTCATCCTGACATTCTTCCAGCCCTTCGCTTCCTCCTCAGGAGCTTAGGGGAAATTTGGCCCAGCCAACACTCAAGAAACACGCACTGCTGGAGTGACTGGAAAATTCCGCCCATCCGTCAGTCGTTGCTTTTATTTCTTCCTCAGGAGGGGAAAAGGGAATAATTCACAGGAAAATGAAAATCTTAAGCAAAAGTGAGACACCATTTGCATAATGACGAGCATCTGATTTTTAATCTAATCCACCTCCAAAGTGAAATAAATGCCTGCTGCCCTGGTACAGCCGGGCCCCCCAGAAGAGCTCAGAGTCGAGCACAGACATGGGGCACCCCCACCCCGGCAGCACAGCCCTGGACGCGCCTGCTCTCCAGAGTTCACTGGAACTCGGCGTGCGTAGCCCCTGTGCCCAGCGGCCACCGACACCTGTGCAGGTGTGCGCTCCCGATGCTCGGGGCACCCAGAAGAGGCCGGGACGTCATCTGGGGACCTTTGTCGACCTAACAGAGGACAGGGCGCGGGGGCCTGGCCAGGCCTGGGCTCGGCTTCTTGCTTCAAATGCAGCCTTGATGGGCAGAGTCGCAGCGGCCACCTCGTGACCGTGGGGATGGACAGAGCTGTGAGCTGTGTGTGCACACCTCGTGGGGATGGACAGAGCTGTGAGCTGTGTGTGCACACCTCGTGACCGTGGGGATGGTGGACGGGCTGTGAGCTGTGTGTGCACACCTCGTGACCGTGGGGATGGTGGACGGGCTGTGAGCTGTGTGTGCACACCTCGTGACCGTGGGGATGGTGGACGGGCTGTGAGCTGTGTGTGCACACCTCGGACCGTGGGGATGGTGGACGGGCTGTGAGCTGTGTGTGCACACCTCGTGACCGTGGGGATGGACGGGCTGTGAGCTGTGTGCACACCTCGTGACCGTGGGGATGGACAGAGCTGTGAGCTGTGTGTGCACACCTTGTGACCGTGAGGATGGTGGACGGGCTGTGAGCTCTGCTGCGTGACGCACCGCCCAAGTCAGTTTCCAAACCACAGTAGTCGAGACTTGATGCCTTGCCTGTGCTTCACACGTGGCTTCCTCCCCCATCTTCCAGCTGGGCCACCTGAGGCCCCCAGGCGCACACGAGCCCCTGGAGGTCTCACGGGGATCCTGGGCTGTGCGGCCGCCATCTAACACAGCCAGGGAGGAGCTGGCTGCGGTGGACCGGCTCAGGCGACGCCCAAGGCACGGCCACCAGAGCCTGCTGACGGGGATCCATGCCCAGCCAGCCAGGCCCTGGCCGGCCAGCAGCTCAGACCCGACCCCACCTGACCACCACCAGGACGAGGCACCTCCAACCAGCGGGGAGCCCAGAAGGGTGTGTGTTCTGCTGAGAGAGACAGACAGAGAAACAAAGTAACAGGCAGGCAGGCAGACAGACACAGACAGACAGACAGAAACCAAGAGGAGACAGAAAAAGAGGGAGATAAATTCGGAGAGACAGAGGCAAAGAAACAGAAATGAAGACTATAAGAGACAAGGTTAGAAAGAGAAGATGGGGGGGAGGGAGAGGGGGGAGGGAAGGTGGGGGACAGTGTCAGGATGGCAGCCACACCTGCTCCTCACAGCCCCAAGACAAGGGAGACCATGTCACCTGTGACGGCCTGTCACTGAGAAGAGACCGCGAGTCTGGCCCACACCCAGCTCCACAGAGGACAGTCAACCAGGGCAAAAGCAGGCAAGATCCATCTGACCCGGCAGCCAGACCCCACCGAAAAGTACCAGAACTGGACATGGTGCAGGCGGCAGAGCATCACAGCCCCGAGTTTAAACCCCAGCACTGCCAGAGAGAGGGGGGACTCCGACGTCCTAAGGGCCTCCTCTACTCAAGGTAGGGGATGAACGGAGGCCACAAGCCCCAGAACACAGTGCACTTGGGGGAGCACCTAACCACCCCCACTCCCCGGCCGCCACCGGGTGCCGCACAGGGACCCAGAGCCACCCCCTTGCCCAGCAGGTCGTGGTTCGCACCGCCAGCGAAGGACCCAGGACAGCGAGGGGCCCAGCCGAGCACTGTCACATCCGCAGAGAGGCTCAGCGCAAGGGAAAGAGACGGGCCTGCCGCCGCCATCCATCCTCCCAACGCCGGGGGCTGCAGCAACTGTCTTGTGATCGTGAGGGAAAGGAACAACACCACAGCGCCCAGTGACTGCAGGGAAAGGCCGGATACCGACATCCACGAAGCCCCACCACTCGGGCGGAGGGGGCGGCCGGTGCCAGCGACCACCCAAGGGAAGGGGACCACGGCCCACCTCGCAGTGCAAAGCTGGGGCCGAGGAACACGGTCATCCCTACGTTCCAGGGCACACTGGGGCACGGCCGTGGGCCGGCACACCTCAGGCACACTCCGGGGCACACCGAGGCACACTCCGGGGCACACCCTGGGCACGCTCCAGGGCACACTCCAGGGCACAGCCGTGGGCTGGCACACCCCGGGACACAGCCGTGGGCTGGCACACCCCGGGCACACCCCGGGACACAGCCGTGGGCTGGCACACCCCGGGACACAGCCGTGGGCTGGCACACCCCGGGCACACCCCGGGACACAGCCGTGGGCTGGCACACCCCGGGCACACCCCGGGACAC